TATCCCTTTCTCTGTATAACAGATGCACTCCGAGTCAACTGGGACGTCCCTCCAGCCTCGGCAACTTTCTCCGCCACATCAGCGGAGGAAGGAGGTGTATACATAACTGGGGTAGCTGCGTAAGGGAAGCTGCTGGAAGTCTCTCCCGATAATCTGCGCTCTATGATACACTGAACAATCGAAAAGAGAAAATACGCTTCAAAAGGTTTGTTTCAGCAATTTTCCTTGGATAATAGCCTCAATTCTTGAAGTCAGTCAAGTAGAAGCATGTCAAATGCCTGTATCACTACTCATTCCAAATTGTGCGATATCATAGAGTATGCTACTCATGACAGAAAATTTCAAATCAAACCAATTAGACCCTCATAAGAATATCTCTCCAGGTACATTGATAGCAAACAGCATACCAAAATCATTGTTCACGGAAAAAAACCATGATAAATAGGTTAGATTTGCCAGAGCTACCCAGTAAAAGTTAAACTAATAAGATAATTCGGGTTCAAGTAAGATTGCACAGATTTAGGAGAAAATATAGACTAAGAGCTGAATGGTGAAGCATTTTGTAGGTCGACCTGGGATTGTATAAATCTTGAAAAAGTTTAATTGTATTAGATTATTTATTTAAAATAAACCAAGAAATTGCGAACTTACTTTTTTGAGATATTTGAAGTTGTTAAGTGAACAATAATTCACATCCATCAGTAAAAAAAATTCTTGATTCTAATAGTACAAGTTGCAATGCTTGAGAATGTATTGATATCAAGTGTGAAGCTGTAGGGTCTCATCTTCTATCAAAGATACGGTTGGAGAAATTTGAAAGGTAACAAAAATCATACCTCAGCATTTACTGCCTCTAACACAGCGCCTGGAACAGGATCTGGACAGAACTCATCTGGCGTAAAGTTGCAGAGTATTCGCTTGACCAATGGAAGGCTAATTGATGGACACACCTACAAATTATGATTATAGAATATTCAGTATATTGGGTATGGGAATGGAACATGTGGCTATATACCTTATTACATTTGTACTGGAATTATAAGATGGACCTCTGTTCTGATTGATCGGTCCATAAGCATGTCTTTTGGAAGCATTAAAAGATCACTCAAAGTATTAAGAAGATGGAAACATTTTGGTTCATCTCCACCCTTGTTGCTATCATCCTTGCTGATGTGCTGTTCTTCTTTTACAGAATCATCAGTGTCCATGCCAAACAAATCAGTAAGCCACCTAGACCAATTGCCAACCTACATAGAGTACCTTTTTAGTGTTTTGACGCTAACAAAATGATGACAAATGTGCAGATAATGTGAATATGTGATATATAATAGCAGGTCAGGGAAGACTTCAACACCTAGGTTTCAGCAAATTGTTGCCAAGCTGAGTGCAATTAGCCAACAACTGATAAGGTGTCTAGAATTGCTCGAACAAAAGAGATCAATCTTAATGAAAAATAATCTCTCTCTTTTTTTTTTTTTTTTTTTTTTTTTTTTTTTTTTTTTTTTT